GGGGGATTCTGGGAGTTGAAGCCCACCCCTCTTAAAGCAGGCTGGCTGGGGGATTCTGGGAGTTGAAGCCCACCCCTCTTAAAACATGCTGGCTGTGGGATTCTGGGAGTTGAAGCCCACCCCTCTTAAAGCAGGCTGGCTGGGGGATTCTGGGAGTTGAAGTCCACCCCTCTTAAAGCATGCTGGATGGGGGATTCTGGGAGTTGAAGCCCACCCCTCCTAAAGCAGGCTGACTGGGGGATTCTGGGAGTTGAAGCCCACCCCTCTTAAAGCAGGCTGGCTGGGGGATTCTGGGAGTTGAAGCCCACCCCTCTTAAAGCAGGCTGACTGGGGGATTCTGGGAGTTGAAGCCCACCCCTCTTAAAGCAGGCTGGCTGGGGGATTCTGGGAGTGGAAGCCCACCTGTCTTAAAGCAGGCTGGCTGGGGGATTCTGGGAGAGGAAGTTCCCCCTTCTTTACATGGCTAAGGCTGGGAAACCCTGTACCACAGATTTGTAAGATGGTAACCTTTGCCATTAGTGAGCGTTAGTAGAAACGGGTAGTAGAAATACAGCAGGGCATCCCTCACCTGTATCCTGTAAAAGATGGGACGTATTTCTGAAAGACGGACTTGAAGCGGCTGGGGTTGGCGGCCTCGGTGGTATCGGGGTGCCACAATGTGGCGATGACATCTGCAAAGGCTGGAAAGAAGGGGACACACCCACCAGTCAGTTTCACACCTGCCTTCTCCTCCCAATTCACTAGATCAAGAGTAATAGACTAAGTCTCCCTCATCCTGCTGAGGATTAATTCCTAAAACGCCTTGAACTGAGAAGGACTTTATTTTAATTGGTGACGCAACTTTCTCTTTCTTTCCCTCTTTCTTTCTCTCTCTCGCTTTCATTCTCTTTCTCTCTCTCTTTTACTCCTTTTCTCTCTCTTTCATTTTCTCTCTTTCTCTCTCACTCTCATTCTCACTCACTCTTTTTCTTTCTTTCTTTCTTTCTTCTTTTCTCTCTCTCGCTCTCATTCTCTCCCTCTTTCTTTCTTTCTCTCTCATTCTCTTTCCCTCTTACTCCTTTTCTCTCACTTTCTTTTTCTTTCTCTTTCTCCCTCTTTCGTTCTCTCTCTCACTCTCATTGAATTGAATTTGAATTGAATTTATTGCACTTATATGCCGCGCTTTTCCCCGGAGGGGACTCATTCTCTTTCTCTCTTTTACTCCTTTTCTCTTTCTTTCTTTCTTTCTCTCATTCTCTCTTTTTTTCCCTCTTTCTCTCTCTCTCTCGCTCTCATTCTCACTCACTCTTTTTCTTCCTATCTTTCTCTTTCTCCCTTTCTCTCTCTCGCTCGCATTCTCTCTCCCTCTTTCTTTCATTTTCTCTCTTTCTCTTTCCCTCTTACTCCTTTTCTCTCACTTTCTTTCTTTCTCTTTCTCCCTTTATTTCTCTCTCTCATTCTCTCTCTCTCTCCCTCTTTCTTTCTCTCTCATTCTCTTTCTCTCTCTCCCCTTTTCTCCCACTTTCTTTCTCTCATTCTCTTTCTTTCCCGCTTTCTCTCTCAACTCTCTTTCTCCCACTTTCTCTCTCTTATTCTCTTGCATTCTCTTTTTCTCATTCAGTCTTTCTCTCTCATTCTCTCTTTCTCTTTCTTTCTCTCTCATTCTCTTTCTCCCTCATTCTCGCTTTTTCTCATTCTCTCTCTCTCTCTCTCTCTCTCTCATTCTCTCCCTTTCTCTCTCTTTCTCTCCCTCCCTCTTTCCTTCTCTCTCTCCACCCCCCTCTCTCCCATTTATTGAGAGAGCAGGGGCATTCCCTGCAGAAAGCAATTACTACTGAAAATATTTTGTATCAAAGAATATGACACTTCCGCTTGCCCATGGCTTAATCGACGCCTGAGATATTCTGGCCGTTTCCCTTTCGTTGTGGGCTTCCTGGCAGCAGAGAAATGTAATGAATAAAATAAAAATATCCCCACTAACTGAAGCGTGGCCTCGGCAATCCTCTGCGAGCAAACACATGCCTGCAAAAGGAAGCTCAGAGAGCACCAGCGTTCAACCCTGAGCTACAAAGCTTCCCTCTTGGGCCGCATGGGTGATTTGGAGTCCTTTGTGGGGTGGGGGATGGGTCTTAAATTTACCAGCCGAGGCTAAAAACAGCCCACAAGGGACCGAAGGACGGGATTGCCCTGGCATTAAGGCTTCTAATTATACCCCTTTAAGAAGGCGTGCTTATATAATCGTGGCCTGTAAGACTTGGGATTAAGCCTCTCTCTGGAGACCGATATAGCTCTCTGCTTTGCAATCTGGTTAGGTAACTCTTCCCAAGAGCCTGAAGCAAACTGCTTGTCCAGGCAAAAAACCCCTTTTGTTAATTTGATTCTGCTCCTTCACCTCCAGCAAAGTCTTTCGAAGGAGGATTTACGGTCACAGACCTTATCTGGCTTGGAGAGCTGCCAGGCTGATCTCTGCACAACTTGGCCAGGAGCCTCGGAGGGTCACGAACCAATGAAGCGAACTAATTGTCTCCTGCAAACTCCACTCCCCTGTCGCTCCTCTTATTTCCTCTGGGAGGGGCCATTCATCGTCCACCTGTGGCCTTGCTCCCAGGTCGACCCCTGTTCTCTAGCTCTTCCCTTCGTCTGGCAACTATGCGCATGCACACACTGGGAACAGGCTCCAGCTGTTCTTCTGTTCTTCCCACTCTCTTGGCCTTCCGAAAGGCTACAAAAACCTGGCTATTCCGGCAGGCCTGGGGCTGTTGACCTCATGGATGAGGTCCAGCCCCACCTAGATTGAGTGTATGATGTGTTGCTTTTTAATCTGTTTTCTCTTTCCTTATTTTTTAACTTTTTTATCTTTTTAGCCCTGTATTTTGTAAGCTGCTCGGAGTCGTTCGGGATTGGGCGGCATATA